AAACCCTAAAAACCCTAAACCCCACACCCCAATCTCGCATCTTGGCCCTGGAGGAGATCAACGTGCAGAAAGCCAAGGAGGCTTACCTGAGAAGCGCCGAACTGGGCCACCACTTCTCACAGAACAACCTGGCACTCCTTTATCAAGAGCACCCGGTCGCTCGACTAAGGGTTTAAGGTTTAGGGTTTAGGGTTTAGGGTAAAATAGCTCGACTACTTGGAGGATCATGGGACTTAGTAAGTAAGGTTATAAGTCCCCTAATTGGGGTTATAAGTATAGTTACCTTAGTTATAACCCTACCTACTAAGTCCCATGATCCTGTAAGTACTACTAGTAAAATAAAGTGGTTGATGGCTTGGGGCTTAGTGCTACTCCCAGGGAGTCGTGCAGTGCTGGTTGGAGGCTAGATTGGAGCCTCTATTGCAGAAGCCCCCAACCCAGACCCTAACTCCTGAACTGTAGACAACCGAGCCTAAGCAACGTAAAATGTCGGTGAAGCCCGAAGTCCTCAGCGTAGAGTCAGGAGCTGGACGTTGATAGATGTGGATCCCTTCACTGGATGCGCCTTGCAGCGGCATCGGGGCTTCTTGGCTTGGAAAGGACGGGCTGTCCCTTCGTCTAGGGCTTTGAGGTTTAAGACGTTTAAGACTTTAGTTTTGTTGCGGCTTCTTCAAGTCCGGGGTATTCATGGGGCATGGTGGTTTCATGGTTCAGGCTTCTGGTGCCAAGGGTGCCTGGCATAGAGTGCTAAGGAAGCCTTCCAGTTAGGGAGCCCTAAACCCCAAACCCTAAAACCTAAACCCGAAACCCGAAACCCTGAACTTAAACCCTAAACCCTAAACCCTAAACCCGAAACCCTAAACCCTAAACCCTAAACAGTGTCTCAAAAGGGCTCCGGATTGGGGAGGTCTGGGGTATGAGGGAGACGATGAGTTAGTGTGTCCAGCTCCCTAGGTTAGAAGCTTCTAGAGAAGGCTTCGGTGATGTAGACCCTTGATAAATAAACCCACCTTCGCTCCTTTACCTGGTCTTAACATTCGGATTTAGAAGGGGTCGTTTAGGGTTTAGGGTTTAGGGTTTAGGGGTTTAGGGTTTAGGGTTTAGGGTTTAGGGTGAGTCTGTACCCTAAACCCCAATTTAGGGGCCTTAATAGTTAGAATATGGTTTTAGGCTCCAGCACCAGGAAGCTGTTACAGAATCCCAGGTTCGCCGTTGCGCAAAAGAACTTGGGTACGATGCTCATGGAGGAGCCTGCTTCCAGGTTTCGATGTTGGGCTTTCGGATATAGGCAGTTTGGCAAGTCCAATACAGGGGCTTAAATAATTACCTACATTAACATACTTTAAAGTATACTATACCCCAAAACCCTATCTAATTATTACGGCCCCTACATTAGGGCAGCTATGAGTTACCATCCAGATATGTTGCACCATCCATTGCGCAGAGAGGAGGCGGCAGACTTCGCAGCAGAGGCTGTTTCAATTTAGGATTCATCGTCTGAATCTTCGGCTTCCGAATTGCAGGTTCGGCATCTCTTTGTTTTCTGGCCCTGGGGCTTGGGATCATCGGCTGACATAGCCCGGCAAGGAGGGGAATTCCGAGCTTGCCGCCGAGTCGCGACAGCAACTTGGCCTGCACTCCGTTTCGGTTGGCCACAACCACTGGCACACAGCGTACAGTTCAAGAAGCCTACAGCCTGAAGCCCTAGACCTTCCTGAAAAAGCCGTAAGCCCTTGCACCCTAAAGCCCGAATTCATAAATCCACAATCACCTTCGACCGCTTGCAGACTCCCGTCGCAGGAGGAAAATAAGGTGCTTCAAACGACTCTTCAGCCACCAACGCCGCACTCCGAAGCCCTGCTCCCACACAACCACGCCCCAACCCCAGACTGCCAGGTCAAGCCTAAACCCGCAAACCCGAAATCCTAAGCCCTAAACCCTAAACCCTAAACCGTAAACCCTAAAGCCGAAGCCTCCGAACAGACGGCGAGGTGGCTGCGGCGCGCCGCCGAGCAGAGAGAGCCCGAGGCAGCCTTTTTCTTGGGGGTCCTGCGGCAGCAAAGAGGGCTTTGTTTGGGGGTTAGAGCTTAGAGCTTAGGGTTTAGGGTCTAGGGTTTAGTGTTGCCAAGGATTTTTACGGCTTTTGGGTTTGAGGGTTTAGTGCTTTAGGGCTCAGAATTCGGGTGGCAAGGATTGTTTCAGACCTTTAGGGCTAGAGCTTGAGCGCTTTGTTGGTGGGCTTCGGGATGTAGGACGTACTGTTCAGGCTGCTCAAGGCTGTTGGACATCAGGGTTGGGGACAGCCGGGTTGAGGATTTTCTGGTTTAGGGTTAGGGTTTTCGGGTTAAGAATCGAGGGTCTGGGGTTTTTGGGTTTACGGGTTTTGGGTCTAGGGGTTAGAGGTTTTGGGTTTTGGGGTTTGCATCTTAGGTATGATGCGGTTGTTCCCGATGAGTGGGATTTGCGTTGCAGCATACATGCTCAGAACTGAACCGTTCACCTAAACCCTAAACCCTAAACCCTCGTTCTTCCGCACAGTTTCATGTTCATACCCCAAAGACTTCGGTAGTGTAGAGCAGTGTATGCTCCTGCTCTGGGAAGTGTAAATCCTGAGCCCACGACCCCACGTGGCTGAGGAAATCTACCGCGAGGGGCTAGGCCGCTCCGCTGAGCTTTTTTTGTGCATTTTCTGGGGGTTTATTGGATTATAGAAGGATTCTGCAGGGTTTGTGTCTAAAAAGGGCTTTCAGGGCTTTTGAAAAGTGTCGACAGATGAGGATTCAGAGCCCTCTCAAATTGAGTGCTTCCCTTATTTCACGGACTATTTGTTCCCCACCTAGGCGCCTGAACAGAACAGGGCTAGAACCGCAATCGCTGAACGCTTTATACACTCTGAATCCTAAACCCTAAGCCCTAAGCCCTAAACCCTAAACCTATACACTCTGAATCCTAAACCCTAAGCCCTAAGCCCTGAACCTATACACTCTGAATCCTAAACCCTAAGCCCTAAGCCTTAAACCCTAAACCATAAACCCCTAAACCCTAAACCCTGAACCTATACACTCTGAATCCTAAACCCTAAGCCCTAAGCCCTAAACCTATACACTCTGAATCCTAAACCCTAAGCCCTAAGCCTTAAACCCTAAACCCAAACCCCTAAACCCTAAACCCTAAACCCTAAACCTATACACTCTGAATCCTAAACC